AAAAAAAAAAAAAAAAAAAAAAAAAAAAAAAAAAAAAAAAAAGGGGCCCGGGCGGGCCGGGGCGGGCCGGGCGGGGGGGGGCCCCCCCCGCCGCCACCGGCACCGGCACCATGATCGGCGTCAACAGCATCAACAGCAGCGCGGGCCGCATGCGGTCCCGCTCCATGTGCTCCGTGCGCTACGGGCGCAACTATCGCGGCGTGGAGACCTTCTGCTACGGCTGGCCCCAGCGCTCCCGCACCCTGAAACCGGTGCTGTACACCGACCTGGTCGTCAGCCGGCTCCAGAGCCGCCGCAAGAAGAAGCCGGTAAGCGCCGGGCGGGCTGCGCGGCGCCGGGCTCCGCGGCAGCACGAGCGTGGACGGGAGCGGCGCGGCGCGGCTCTCCAGGCGCTGCGCTGCGGCGGGGCCGTGCCCGGTGCCCGCAGCCCCCGGGCTGCGTGACATTGCGGCGGGACATTGCGCGGCGGCGGGGTCGGAAACGTCGTGCGGGGAGGATCGGGGGCAGAGCCGCTGGGGGCTGCCCTCCCGCCCGACCAAGCGGCGCGGTGCGCGGTGCCGGGCGTTGCGGGCTGCGGCGCTGCGGTCCCGTTCTGAGCCGAGAGCAGGGGAGAAGGAGGGGCTCCGGTCGGGAAAAATGGGCTGCTGGCTGCTGGGAGCGCGCTCGCCGTCAGTTGGCGTCGGCTTCGGGGAGTCGGGCCGGTGTGCCGCCGTGCTCGGTGGGGAGAAGTGGCAGGGTTGGAGCTGGGCGCGCACCGCCGTGCCGGGCAGGACCGGAGTCGGCCATCGCGGCGGTCTGGGAGCAGCACGGGGTTGTGACGCACTCGGATGGAAACCGCGGCTGGAGGGGAGATGCTCCTTGGTGCGAGGGATCGAGAGGGGCGGGGGCACAGGGTGCCGCAGGTGGCCGTGCTGCTGAGCGTGGTCTGTGCCCGCGGGGCAGACGGCGGGATGATGAGGATCTGGTGCAGCACAGCCATACGCCCCCATGTGACCGTGCTGTGTGTACTGGGACAGCCGAGGCATCTGCGTGCCCGGAGCACCCAGCACAGCGTTGAAGTTGGGTGTAGGGAAAGGAACTTCGCTAAGAAAAAGTTGGGGAAAGCCACGATTGAGCTCTCGTAGTGAAATGCCCAAGAGAGGCAGAGTGCCTGCGAGAGGCCACTGTATGGCTGTGAGATCCCTTGTGCACAACATCTCACTGCTGTGCAGAACGTCACACCACTTCTCTGTTAGGGACACGCTGGGCTGCAACCCTCAGTGCAGTCCCATCTGTCCCAACACTGCATCCAGGGCCATCTGCTGCCCTACTCCCATGCCAGCACTGAATCTCCCCTGCTCTGCACTGCTCTGAGACAGAGGGATGAAGAAGAGGACTGTCTGTGCAGCCAAGCTATCCCTGTGCAAGGACGCTGCTCCAGTGCAGCCTGCACACCTCCAGACGCGTGCTGGAGCAGTACCTGGGCACATCCTGCCAGCCCTTTTGGGAGGTCACTGAAGGAAGATGTGCTGGTTCCATTGGCAGTCCCACTGGAGCAGTACATCCCTGGGTCTCCCTGGTGTTGTGCATATCTAAAACAGGGCTTGCTGCCTTACCCTGCGTTCTGCAGCAGTGAGCTCATAACCTTGTGATGGTAACAAAAAGACAGCTGCTTTGGGTCAGCCAGTTCCCCACCAGCCCCCTGCTTTCTCCTGGACAGTGCTCACAAATTCAGCTATGCCATAAAGTGCCATCATTTGCCTCCTTGGAAATGAACCCATAGAGCAAAGATGGCCAGGAGAGAGGGACCTGCAGTGATAAGCCGCAGTGCTGTGGTCTGTGCTGACAGCCGTGGGGAGCTGGGCTGCAGAGCCCACTCTGCCCCATCAGAGGGATCCTGCATCACAGGGTCTGGGACTTAGTATGGACAAGCAGCGGGAACAGAGAGCAGCAACAGGCAGTGTGGTGCAAAGCATCCTCAGCTCAGAGCTGGGCCAGACTTGTCCCCTCCAGGCATGACGCTGCTGCCTGCTGGGGGTGGCGGTGAGCAGGCAGAGCCCCAACAGAGTCCCAGTGCAGGATTGCAGTGCAGGCTTTGTGCTGTCTTCTGCTCACCTCACAGTTGTGTGTTTCCCTGGTGCAGGAGCACTGGAAGCCTATGGCCCAGTGTCTGAGGCTGCTCAACAGCTCCTGCCCACATCAGACTCATGGGATGCTTCTGGTGCTTGTAGTGGGACTGTGGGAGCCTTCTGAAGCCAGCAGTCAGGTTGTCTTTTGAAGTGTTCCTATGTAGTCCCAGAGCCCGTGTTTTTGTAGTGCTGCCCCAATGTGCTGCTCACCAGCACCATGCAGATATTGCTCTTTCGGAACTGCTCCCCAAGTGTGTTCTCACCGGCTTGGCTCCACTTCTCTGTGCCTTTTTTTCTATTATTTTTGTTTCTGTTGTTCTTAGTCCTTCTCAGCTGCTTTCCATCTTGCTCCCCATGACAATTCTGTATTGCCCACATTGCTCCTCAGAAGCCTGCTTCCATCTCCTGCCTGTCCCCTGCTCTTCCCAGGGCAGCACAAACAGCTGGGTACAGCCCACTCTGGGGCACTGGGGCTGTGCCTCTCCTGAGGGTTGCTGGCTTCCCAGGAGCAGCCACCCCTGCCTTTTGCCTGCATACAGGGAGGTCCTCTCATCTTCTGCAAAACAAGCTGGTGCTGGGCCAGTGCTTCCCCGAGCAGAGCACATGTGATAATCCCAGTCCCTCTTCCGCTCTGGCCACTGCACATCTCGGGATGATGGATTTGCCTTCCCCAGATGCTGCTGGGTCTGTTGGCAGGGTCCCTGCGAGCCTGCAGTTGTACTTTATCAGCCACCAGCAAGCTTTCTCCCCAGCAGTCTCCAGCCAAGAGATGGATGTTGGCAGCTGCCTGAACAGTCTGTGCACAACTCAATTATCTTCCTCTGAGGATGATGCCTTCCAGACCCGTCCTGTTCCTTGATCTGGAGTGCTGAGTGAACACTGCTGGGAACACTCTCCAGAACCTCTTGTGCTATAGGGCTGGGCTGAGCGCCTGTGGCTTGCACCCAGCTGGGACCGGACAGGCGCTTGGGAACGCAGCCCCAGACCCATCTGCAAACGGACTTTTTTTTCACAGCTGAAACACAGGCACGGGCCCTGCCTTGCTGAACACAGCAAGAGTCAGAGAGTGTGGAGGCCCTGGGAAGAGGGGGTGGGCAGTCTGCAGCACCCTGGGGTAGGTGCTTTTCATCTTTTCTCAGAGAGCCACCAGATCTCTGCAGTGCTCCTGAATAGGAGTGCTGGGGGCTGCAGATCCCACATGGAGCAGATGCCAGATCTTGTTGAGTTACTGAAATGTAACTGTGCTCCTGGGGTCTGTGGGTGCCCACAAGTGCAAGAGGACAAACAGAGTTGGGTGGCTGCTGCCTGCTGTAGGGATGCAGGAGTTCTGCAGGCCTTAGCAAAGGCTGATGTCCTGCAGAGCTGCCCCAATCCAAATGTTCTCTGTCCTGGGCCTGAAGGCTCTCCATTTGGCCAGCCCAGTTCACCCTGTGGCCGCAGCTCTTTGACAGCCTGGATGTGTTTGGCAAAACTCGTGCTGCTCACTCTCTGCCACTGCCCTGGGCAGACACAGGAGGAGGAAAGCGCAGGGGTGGCAGCCTGGGCCGTGCCCCAGCACGGAGCCCTGACTATGCCCTGGCTGGGAGTCCTGTGGTGCTCAGACATCATCTGTAAGCCTTAGTATGTGCAGAAAGGGGGCCTGGCTGTCAGCACCAGTGCCAGAAAGGAAGGGCTGTGTGCAGGATGGGCTGCCCCAGCATTGCCTTTACCTCCAGTTGCTCCTCCGTCCCCAGAGCAGCTCCCCTGACTCAAACCCCGCTCCTCTCTCCACAGGCACTGTATGGCTCCATCAAGAACGAGAAGCTGCAGTGGGCCATGTAAGCATCCCATGGGGGGACTGGCTGCGTAGGCCTGGCACGTGCTGGGGTCACCCTGACGACATGGCAGCCCTATTCACCCTGGCCCCGGAGCATCCATCTCGCTGCCCAGGGCCTGTATAGGGGGGTAGGGATGGAGGTGCCCAGGGAGCTGCAGTGGGTGCCAGCCCTCTGCCCCAGCACGGCACCACGATGGGGTCCCAAGAGCAGCTCCCGCAGCCGTGGCTGTGCCGAGCCCTGCTGAGCGCCCAGGCAGCGGTGCCTGGATGCCCGCACCTTCGCCTACAGCTGCCATCTCCAGCAGCAGGAGCGGCAGCACCCGCGCTGCGGGGATTAATCAGCCCGGCGGTTCCGCCAGCGCTGAGCCAATGCGCTCGGGCTGCTGCCATGGAGACGCCGGCAGATGCTGAGGGGTTTAATTAGCAGCGAACGGTTACGAGGGAGGGGGGAGGCCGCAGCTCCGGGCTCCCATAGCTCCGTGCTGGGGCGGGGGAGGGAAGCAATGCAGCCCGGAGGGCGAGGGGATATCGTTGACAGGGAGGGTGTGAGCGAGGTGTGCTGCCCTGCAGGGTGTGCTGAGAGGTGTGAAGCACTGCTCATCAGCCAGTCCAGCAGATGTCCACAAAGACTGCTCACTCCTGAGGACAGGTGCCCCCAGCCAGGAGCAGTGACAGAGCCCCTGTGGCTCATCCCGGCAGCAGCACAACTGCCAGTCTCAGCGGGCAAGGGCACAAAGGCTGGGCTGGGCTGTGGGATCCTCTTCAGTGACAGCAAACTGCTCGGCCTGGCCTGGGAGGCTTGATGTTTGCTGTCCCCGGCAAGGTCATAGACACTCTACGTCCTTGTCCTAACCAAATCTGTACCTGGCAGAGACGAGGAGGAGCTGAGGAAGTCCCTTTCAGAGCTGGCTGATCCCAAACCTAAGTCCATCAAACGCATCAGCAGCTGCAGTAACCCCTTCCTGGACTTCTCCCAGGACTCCAGCATCGCCACCTACAAGCACGGACTGTTAGTGCGCAAGATCCATGCTGATCCCGACTGCAAGAAAAGTAGGTGTCTAGGGAGGGGGGCACTGGAGAGCTGCAGGAACCCTGAGAGTGGGAGAAGGGCAGGGGTCACCCTATGTGGTCTGCACATAGCATCAAGCCTGCCTGCAGCATCAGCTCTTCTCCACGTGCATCAGGCCGCAGTGGGCAATTTACTCCCAGGTTGGGGGCTGAAGGTCTCTCCCTACCTGCAGTGCTGGGAGAGCTGGGGGTGCATGCTGAGGCATCCCACAGTGCTGCAAGCATGCTGCAGGTTCTGCGCTGCCAGGCACGTTCTCCATTTCCACTGCGAAATCCTCCCTAAGCCCCGGCTGCCTAATGCCACCTTGATCCGATCAGGCGCTGCCAGCGTTACCTGGCGTGTGGCAGCGTTCTGTCCCCATCCCCAGGCACGTAGGCCCCCCCCTGCAGCCCCATCTGCCAGCCACGTGCCCAGCATGGGCTCAGGTGCACGGGGACGGTGCAGGCGTGCTGCACTTCCCCAGGGTGGGGTCACGTGTAGCTTGGCACGGTTCATGGCAGGGTGATCCATGGGCTGCTCTCCTCTCCCGCAGCCCCCCGAGGGAAGCGCGGCTGGAAGCCTTTCCACGCCATCCTGAAAGGGATGATTCTCTATCTGCAGAAGGTGAGGAGCGCTGTGGTCACCTGGGGTGCAGGCTGGGGCCCTGCCCCCGGGGCTCAGCTGGAGGCCAGCCTCCACAGTGGTGCTGGGTTGTGGTGGGAGCAGCCCTTGGCCGGCTCTGAAGCACCCAGTGCCCTGCAGGAGGAATACAAGCCAGGGAAGGCGCTGGCAGAAGAGGAGCTGAAGAACGCCATTAGCATCCACCACTCGCTTGCCACACGGGCATCAGACTACAGCAAGAGGCCCAATGTCTTCTACCTCAGGACAGCTGACTGGAGGGTCTTTCTCTTCCAAGCACAGTGAGTCCCACAGTGGGGCTTGGCGGGGTGAGCTATGTTCATTGCTGGTGGTAGTGAGTGGGATGAGCTAAATTCCACATCCTCGCCCTTTCTAGAAGGGAGAGGAGCTGACGCTGTTCCTAGGTATTGCCCAGCTCCTCTCCTCTCTGCACCAGTGGGCCTGAGGCCATGCACTGCTGGAGCAGAGCTGGGGCCAGCTGTGAGCACTGGGTGGCTCTGCAGAGCAGGGCCTTGGTGTGCCAAGACTGGTGGGGAGAGCATGCAGTGCCACGCTTGCCCTTTCTCCCCAGGAACTCCGAGCAGATGCACTCGTGGATCACACGCATCAACGTGGTGGCAGCCATGTTCTCTGCACCCCCCTTCCCTGCTGCCATCGGCTCCCAGAAGAAGTTCAGCCGCCCGCTGCTCCCCAGCTCCTGCACCCGGCTGTCCCAGGTGGGCCGGGAGTGAGGGGCTGTGCTGGGAGAGGTACAGGGTGAGAGGCGGTGCCAGGGCATGGAGGCACACGTGGCCACCTACCCACACCCATGAGGGGGACCTGCGTCACGGCAGGACCTTGACAGGAGCCCGGGCAGGGGATTAGCTGGCTCTCGCTAGTGCCACCGCAGTTATTCATAGAGCAGAAAGGATTTTAAAAAAACAGCCTAGTTTTTAGAGGGGATTAATTTCTCTCTAAGACGGCAGCCAGCCCACCAAGAGCAGGAGACCTTCCCAAAGGGCCTGTGCTTTGGCCAGCAGTGTTTAGAACACTGCGAGTGGCAGTTGAGCTCCTGCTGTAGCCAGGAGGGGAGAACCATGCCAGCATTGGAGTGAGGGCAGTGGGGTGCTGACAGTGTCACCTGTCCCCAGGATGAGCAAGTGAAGAGCCACGAGTCCAAGTTCAAGACGATGTCAGCAGAGCTACTGGAGCACCGCTCCTCTCTGCCGGATAAGAAGGTGAAGGGCAAGGAGTACGAGGAGCTGAAGCAGAAGGAGGAGTACCTGGAGTTTGAGGTGAGCAGGGCAGACCTTTGTATCCTGTGCCGACTCTGGGCCACCATCAGGTCATGGGGACCTCTCCTACCTCTTCGGCCGAATTGCATCTGGTTCCTCTGGCACTGCTGCAATGCTTTGCTCGGACTGCAGCTCCCCAGCATGAGTAAGGGGCTCCCAGGGGTGGGGCTGGACGATCTATGCCGTGGCTTGCTGTGCCTCTGGTGGAAGCAGGCACTGCACCTCCAGGCTGTGCTGGAGGGCCAAGAAGCATTCTGCGGGCTGCAGGCTGAAGAGGCAGTGCCCTGCTACCCTACTGCTCTCTGTGCTGTGCTCTGTCCCCAGAAATCCCGCTACGGCACCTACGCCATGCTGCTGCGGGCCAAGCTGAAGGCTGGCTCTGAGGACCTGGCGGCGTTTGAATCCACGCTCTTTGACGCAGCAGGCGGTGAGGATGATGGCCTGAAAAAATCCCGCTCCAGCCCCTCGCTGAACGCCGAGCCCTCCAGCACAGGCACCAAGGTGAAGCGCAACATCTCAGAGCGTGCCAGCCGCCAGCCCCCCGGCCACCCCCAGAAATCATAAGCCAGGGGCATCAGCCGCCTGCGCTGCAGCTCCGATCCTGCCCAAGGGCGCTGGGTGGGTGCCACATACCTGCTGGGACCCTGCATGAGTCCATCCTCTGGGGGCACACGTCACTGTGGGGACAGCCATACTCAGCCACCAACAGCAGTCCAGTGGCCCCTGGGCCAGAGACAGATGTAGGGCAGGACCAAGGGGCTGCAGGTCGGAGCTGCCCCACAGACTCATTCCTGCTCCCCTTGTTCTGTGCTTGGCTGCAGGCTCCCCTCCAGCTCCCCACCCCCGGGAGGGGCAGGGACTGACACCCCCTGACTGGGCTACTTTCCTTGGTGTAAAACTGCAGCGCAGCCGCCAGCTGCTTTCCTCAAGCTCCTTTATGCCATGTGGAATGGAGCCATCCCTGGCCCCCAACTCCAAGGGCTGGGGGAACCCAGGTCCCCCTCCCCACTGCCCCCATGCCTCTTGCTTTCTTACAACTTTTGGACGGTTTTTGTGATACAGTTTTGCACTTTTTAGTACCAGATTGAGCTGACCACCAGGGAGTTTTTTGGGGGGCTAATTTTGATGCTTTTTGAGAACTATTTAAAAACAAACAAAACAACAAACAGAAAAACAGTGCACCAAACTCAGCCACATCCTGTAGACCGTGCACTTCTAGGGGGGAAATGTTTTTACATGGACTCAAAGGAGGACGCAGAACCCCCCCAGACAGTGAGCTGAGCATCACTGGTGTGCTGTGAGCCCCCACCCTGCACCAGCAGCCCTCCTGCAGAGCCCTGAGCTGAGCAGCATTGCCTACATGCTGGCTCTTTGCGAATGTGGGCACAGCTCTGCAGTCTGGACGTGGCCCTGGGCCCTGCCTGGATGTGCACTGGGCAGAGGTGGGTATGGGGTGGGGGATGGAGAGAAGGGGGCTTTCCTTCCAGTGCCACTTCTCCAAAGCATCACAAGGGCCTTGGAGGATGCAAAGCTGAGTGCCGCTCCAATAAGAAGAGGAGGAGCAGAGGCTGGAGAGCCTTCTCTTTGGCTGCAGGCTCTCGGTTCCCAGGCATACCCACAGGGTGAGCATGGCCGGGAGGACGCTTGGAGCAAACACTGGTGCTCACGTAGCCGCAGGAGCACTGGAGGCAGATGGCAGGCACTGGGGCTGGAGAAGGGCTGGGGGCTGCTGCCGCTCCTGGTGCGTGGGACCTCGCCAGTTTCAGCACTATGCGAATGTGTCAAACTTTTTATTCTGCTCTTTTGAGTCTATTGCAAAAAAAAAAAAAAAAAAAAAAAGAAGAAAAAAGAAAAAAATAATTCCACCCTTGCCCCAAGTGGCTCAGGGGGAGAAAAACCTTTGTACAGCTTCTTCTGTCGGTTACTGAAGTAAAACTTGCTCTTCAGTTCTTGGTGCGTTGTGGTTTTTCCCCAGGCAGCCCAGAAGCGGTACTGGGGACAGCACAGGCACTTGGGGCGATGCTGAGGGGGCATGGGCTGCCTGCTCTCCCTGTGTCTCTAGGGGCGGGGCAGACACAGAGGGCTGAGGCTAATGGAAACTGTGTCCCTTTTATTCACCAGGCGTGGGACCATTAAATAAGAGCAGAGTGGGGCTTGGCACGCTGTGTCCCAGCCCTCAGCAGCAGGGCAGCCGGGCTGCAGTGCAGCCCCCAGTCCAGAAGGCACTTGTGTGGGAGAGGCAGGGTGGGGGGCAGCGTGGCCCCCCCGGCCCCTCAGTGCACCTGCTGCTGCTGACTGTGGGGCAGCTCGCCCTCTGGCACTGGCCTCGGCTTCAGGGCGGCCGCCTGCTCCTCCTCCACCGACTCGCTCCCATAGGCACTGTCTTCCTTGACCTCTGCAAGGCAAACCCAGGGCCATCAGCTGGAAGGGCTGAGGGCAGTGGGGCCCTCCCATCCCCCAGTTCCACACCTGTGCTCTGCAGCTTCTCCAGCGGCTCAGGTTTGCGCAGCATTCTGACAGCCCCGTGCAGCCCCATGGAGTCCAGCGCCTCCAGCAGCCCCCCAAGGTTGCCCCCGGCCAGCTGCAGGGAGAACATGGTGAGCAGAGGACACATAGAGGGGACAGCACAGGAACAGGGCCTGGCACCGACCTCATAGCTGCGCAGCAGGCTGACGCTGGGTGAAGGGGTGTCCTTGTAGGTCTCCACCAGGCTGCAGAGCCCCAGCCTCTTAGCCAGCTCCATCCAGTCTGACCCGCTGCTGTCCTGGTTCAGCAGCTGCTCCAGCCCCTGAAGCGCATCACCATCCAGAGACAGCACATTCCCTGTGGGGACACGTACCCCTGTCACACACCATCTGTCCCTGTTGCCGTGGGGGCAGAGAGTTGCCGGCCCTGCTGTGCATGCAGCAGGGCTGCTCACCTGGCCGGGGGGCGGTGGGCAGCTCAGTATCAGGGCATAGCTGGGAGGCCTGCAGCAAGATGTCCCGCACCTGCAGGGCACATGAAGGGATGTGAGCACTGCCCCAAGCGCCACTCAACACTCCCCAGCACCCCACAGGGCCTGCAACATGGAGGGGCACCAGGATGGTGCCAGCCCTGGCAGAGCTCCTGGCTTGGCTTTGCCCCCACACCTCCTGAAGATCCCACCCCACAGCCCCTACCTGTGCATCTCCACATACCTTCTGGCTCCGGGTCAGGTCCAGAGCTGTGTGGCAGCGGCGCTGCCGAGGCCCTGTCTCCCCCTGCTCCTCCTCAGGGGTGGGATGGGGGCTTGGGGCTGGCTCCCCCAGCTCCATTGCCTGCTCCTGCTCCTCAGGGTCGCCGTCCGTGTCACTGCTGGCCTCTGATGAGGAGGGGCTGATGGGCTCGTCGTTCTCACGCTGCACATCTGCCCCTGTCAGAAGGTCTGGGCTGAGCCCCGAGGGCAGGGGTTGCTTGAGGCACCCAGCAGCAGGGCAGGGCTGCAGCTTACCTGCTTTGAGCAGCAGTTTGGTGAGGGTTGGGGAGCCCAGGCCGGCAGCCAGGTGCAGGGGGGTGTTACCAGCAAAGGTCCGGCTGTTGACATTTGCTCCCAGCTGCAAAAAAAGTGTGAGGCCATAAGGAGCGGGCCCTGCCTCCACCTCCGCCCCCACCCCGTGGAGAGGAACCAGCTCCTACCTACCTTCTTCACCAGGTGCGTGGCCATGTTGAGGTTCTCCATCTCCACAGCCAGGTGCAGTGGGGTCCTGCCGCCCTGCCTCTCCACGCCGTTCACATCCGCGCCCTTCCTGACCAGCAGGTCCAAGCAGGCTGGGCTCTTCGCCTTGACAGCCAGGTGTACGGGCAGGAGACCTGTGGCAGTGGCACCAGCTCAGCACCCTGCTGTGGCACCAGGGCCCTTCTCCAGCGTGGCCCCTTCCCTTCCCACTCCGCTCACCATGGAAGTTGGGCAAGCACAGCAGGTAGGGGGTGGCAGAGCCCAGGTGGGCCAGCAGCGTCCGCAGCATCTCCTCATCACCTGTCTGCAGTGCCAGGTGCAGCAGGGAGTTGCCGTAGCGGTCCAGCAGGGTGGGGTTGGCGTGGGCCTGCAGCAGGAGCTGCACCACCTGCGGCTGCTTGGTGATGACTGCCAGGTGCAGCGGTGTCTGTGGGACAGAGGCATCATCACAGCAACAAGCCTGTCCCAGCACAGCCCTGACTCCTCATGCATGGCATCGGGATGGGGCAGCTGCAGCCCCAGGTCTGGACTCAGGAGCAAGGCTCCCCCCACCCCAGCCCTTCTCTGTGACAATGTGACAGTGCTGACCAGGAACGCATACCTGCTGCAGATTGTTGGTGATGTTAATGATCTGCTGGCTAGGGATGCTGACCACCACCTCAATTAGCTGCTTGATTACAGCCGTCTGCTCATGGATGATGGCGAGGTGCAAGGGCCTGCAGAAGAGGACAGCCCTCACATCAGCTCCATGGCCACAGGTCTCCCCCCAGTTGCTCCCTGCTCCAAGCACTCACGTGTCCCCATTCTCATCTTGTGAGGCTACCAGGTGTCTCTGCACAGCCAGCAGCATGCGGGGGTCGGCAGTAACTGAGTAGTCCAGCAGGGCATGGGCGTTGCGGTGTGCCAGCAGCCACAGGTGGCACAGGTGGGCTGCAGGGCAAGGCAGGACATCAGCCCCAGAGGGCTCTGGGTCCCACACCCCTGCTGGCCCCCCTGGGTACAGCCTCCAGCCCGAACCCTCATACCATGCCGCTGCAGCTCCCTGCAGTAGTTGCTTTCTGTAGGCACCTCTCTGTCACCTCTATCTCCACTCTCGTTGGGGGCCTTCATCTGCACGCCACCCTGGTACCCTCCCCCTACAGGGTGCGGGCTGGAGGAGTAGAGGTTGTTGTATCCCAGTCCGGATGAATAAGGGAAGCTGAGGTTACCACCTGTGGAGCAAAGGCCAGGTCAGGGCCAGGTCAGGCCAGGCTGGCAGCACAGGGTGCAGGATGTTCCCACTCACCTCCTCCTGCTCCAAAGCCCCCAGCACCGCCGGCACCCCCCATGTGTGAGCCCCCGCCGAAGTGCTGAGGAAACTGAGGCAGCACCTTCTTGCGCTTCCGCTCCACCTCCTCTTTATCTGCAGGGAGAGACGGGGAGGGGGGTGAGGGGCAGGGGAGCAGCCCAGCCACAGGGCCGGGAGCCCCGTCCCACAGCACTCACCCTCCACCACGGGGTAATAGGTGAATTGCTTGGAGTCGCTGACGTCCCCCCCACGCTTCCGCTTCAGTTGCAGGAACACGGTGACAGGACGGTCAATTTTGGGCTTGTGGTAGGGGGGCGTGCGGAAAACGATGGCGTACTGCGGACAGGAGGACAGCGCTGGGCCCTGCTCTGGCCTGCAACCTGACATGGGCCTGCCCACCCCACAGGCACCCACTCGCGCCATCCCCCTGCACCTGCTTGTGTACGTCCGTGGGGGAGAAGTCCCCAAAGGCCTGCCAGCCATTCTCGTCGTCCTCGTAGAACCGCACCTCAATGTCATCTGGGGAGGAAAGGGACTCTGGGCACCGCCTGCCCTGCTGCCTGGCTGCAGGGACACAGCCACGGGGCTCACGTCTCACGGCTGCAGCCCGCGTCGAGAGCTGCAGCCTTTTACCTTTCTGCACCTTGTCGCAAAGCAGGTAGACCTCGTCCCCACCCCGCACCGAGCCCGCAGTCTTGTCCATCCGCGAGATCTTGAGATTGGAAGCACCAGGGGACTCTGTGGGGCCAGGAAGTGTCAGGAGCCCCGCAGAGCACTAGGAGCCCAGGGAGGCCAAAACGGAGCCACTCACATGCTCGGTTAACACCCAGCTGGGAGCAGCACACCCAGAGCACCGTAACCCCATGCAGGGCGGCCCCCCCCCATGTCCCCGCCACAGCAGCCCCATGCTCACTGCTGTCATGGATGGGGTCAGAGATGACGGGCTGCAGTGCTAGAGTGAAGTTTCCACTGCTGTCACGGAGGTAAGCGGTGAAGCGCAGCCGCACGATACTCAGGTCCATCACCTTCTTCAGCTCCTTGGCCTCCAGCTCGATCTCACGCAGCTCAGCTTCTGCAGGGGGGGTACCGTCAGACACTCTGTGCCCAGCAGCTGCCCCACGCTGTATGGCCCCACCACCCCAACCCACACCGCCCTCACCTGTCAGCAACCCGTTTGTGTTGCGCGTCTTCTGCTTCTTCAGCTTCTCCTTCATGATCTCCATCATGTTCTTCTTGGTGACATGGAGCACTCCCAGGTTGCTGAACCTGCCCAGGAGAGCCCACAGTCAGCACAGAGCCAAGCAGCAGCAGATAGTGGCATGGCACGGGGGGCAGTGGTGCACAGCCACGGAGAGAGAGGAGCCCAGAAGAGAGGACCCCAACAGCCACAGTGGGGACTTGCAGGGCTGGAGGGGATGTAAATGGAAGCCGGTTGGGCGAGCACAGGGGTTGCATTTATGGGACCTACAGGGAACTCTGCGCGCAGCAAGAGAGCGCACGCAGCTCCCGCCCCACTCCCGCAGATCTCAGAAAACGCCCCACACGCACTGTGCCGTCATGTCTTTGGGCCCCACGACAGCGACGCAGTTGCCGGCCTCGGTGCACTGCTTGCCCACCAGGCTGTGCGCATGCACACGCGGAGGGTCGCTGTGTGTCACCAGGTCCACCTCGATGCGCGCTATCCCTTCGTAGTTGCAGATCTGCGGGGAGGAGGGAGCTGAGGCACAAAGTCGGACCTGGGGCTCCTTAGATCCTTGGCTCACGTACTCCCTCTCCCTCCTCCGAGCATCATCCCAACCCATGTGCGCTCCCAGGGCCACAGCAGCACAGCACTCACCTTGACGGTAGGATAGGTCTTGTGCCCCTTCTCGCTGGAGGCTCCCGGCAGCCCCCCGTGCGAAGGGCCCTCGCAGCCATACCGAAATCGAAAGCCCCGCTGCAGAAAGCAA